ATAAGTCCAGAAATCTAACCACATACAACCTTGTAGAAGGACAGTCTCGCAACATTGCTTTTCCTGTCTCCTGCCTTCATTCACTACCCCCTTCTTTTTGAACAATCATCTACCCAAGAGACAGCATGGCAGCACTGGCATGTCATGACAAGCAACCCATATTCATAAGACCAGAATGACAGGCACTCCAAGCATGAACCTACTATTTCAAATTACCATCTTCAGTATAGTTGCTTAGTTCACAGGCATCAGTATATATAATTAGTCAGGGTAAGAATCATTCCAATTAACTGCTAGATTCAAAAGTCTTCTGAAAATTCTCAGGATCATTGCCTTATCCATCTTCAACATATAACTGTATGGCTTGCCACTGTCATGTTTCTTAGCTCTTCTCCTTTCCCTTTCTTAGTTACTTAGTCCTCAAGTTCTTGCTTTCCTTTTAAGTGTATTATATCATTAAATATCTAAACATTAAAACAGAAAGACTAAATCTCCTGGAAGAGATAGTAGGAGAAACTCTTGAAGACATAGGAGTAGCAAAGAGTTCATGAACAAAAATCAAATCACACGGGAAACACTTGAAAGAATTAATAACTGGGACTTAGTCTTATTGATAAGTTTTTCCATGTCAAAAGAAATTACCTACAAAGTGAAAAGACAACACACAACTTTGAAAAGTATCTTAACAAATAAGCACTCAGACAAAGGTCTGCTCTCTAGAATTTATAAAGAACTAAGGAATATTAGTACCCTAAAATTTAAAGACTCAATCCAGAAATGGGCATCCGAGATGAACCCACCCTTCTCAGAGGACAAAATTAAAGAAGTGAATAAATATATGAAAAAATACTCCACATCACTAGCTATCCATGAAATGCAAACTAAAACAGCATTGAGATATCATCTCACCCCAGAAAGAATGGCTATCATAAAGAAATCAACCAACAACAAATGTAGGAGACGCTGTGGAGGAAAAGGAACCATTCTCCACTGCTGGTGGGAATGTTAGACTGGTGCAACCATTATGGAAATCAGTGTGGAGACTCCTTAGAAAAGTTGGACTGGAAATCCCATTTAAACCAGCTATTCCTCTACTGGGAATCTTCCCAGAGGATCTGAAAACATCATGTCATAGGGATATAAGTGTGCCTATGTTTATAGCAGCACAATTTGTGATAAGCAAATCTTGGAA